GCTAACCAGAAGGCTGGCAGTTCAAACCCACCAGCCACTCCTCGGAAGGAAGGTTGGGCAATCCTACTTCTGTAGTGATACTGCCTCGGAAACCCATGGAGGGGTTGCTATGAGTCGGGGCCGACTCGACGGCACATAACAACAACAACAACAGACTAGTGAGTAGTGTCTGGGGTCTTAAAAGCTTGTGAGCAGCCATTTAAGACACAACTATTGGTTATTCATAGGGAGCAAAAGAGAATTAAGGTAATCAAAGGCTCAAAGAAGAAATTAGTCCAGGGGACTAACAGCCCACACAAACCAGCCTTCTCTAAACTGAGACTAGATGGTGCCCAGCTACCAATACCAACCATTCTGACCAAGGACACAATAGTAGGTCCCAGAAAGAAGGGGAAAAATACAAGAACAAAACTCAAATTCCTAAAGAAGACCAGACTTAACTGGACTGTCAGACACCTGGGGAACCCCCAAGACTATCACCCTAAAAAAACCTTTGAACTTGGATTTGAATCTATTTCTGTAAGTCACCTTCCAGCTAAATAATAGACTGGCTTATAAACAGTATAACCCATGAGAAATGTGCTCCCTTAAATCAACTATATAAACACTAAACAGTCAACATTTCCCCAAAAGTAAAGATGAGAAGGCAAGGAGGGCAAGAGAAGCTAGATCAACAGAAACAGAACAAAACAGAATGGAAATGTGCATGTGGACACATTGTGAAAACTGTAACCCGTGGCATAAAACAATTTGTATAAAATTATTAAAGAACCACCTAAGTTTCCTATAAGCTTTGATCTAAAACACGGTAAGTTTTCTTTTATTTTTAAAGCTGACTGGTTTCAAAGGTATACAAAGGACCAATGTAATCTATTAGAATAACCTGAAAAGTTCTGTCAGGCTTTATCTTGTCAGTATATTTCTTGGTGTCTCCATGCCTTAAATGTCCTACAAGGTATAGAGTGTGTAATATACAAATTATAAAGTATAACAAACTATAAAGTTGGTTGTAATATAGGTAGATTTTATCTGGATGCTCAATTTTTAGTTATCACTATGGTTTACATAATGTTAGGTATCCTTTGTTTAATATGCCATGTGGTCTAATTTTTAGTGTGATTTTGGTGGAAGCATTGAAATTACCTTATCTACTATATTGTATTTCTTTTCTATTTCTGAGTGATACACATAAATGTGTGCAATATAAATTTTAATGGTAAATTTAAAAAAAGGTTAATTCACACTTTACAATAAGGATTTAAATTACACATCCAAGTTAAGTGTTGTTCTTAGCAGCTGCCAAGTCAGTGTCACTCCTGGTGATACATGCATTGTTAAATGTACAACTGAGCTCAAACCCTAATATAGGAATAGGTTGTATTGATTTTTAAAATGCTATTAATACTTCTAGAATTACTAACAAAAACAAAAAATAATGGACCAACATTCTGTAGCTTTCATGACAATTTAACCAAATTTCCAAGTGTAAGGAAAAGCACAAATTTCTAAGTAATTCACAATTTCGTTCACTACTCAAATACCTTCTACATTTATCACACTATTAAATGAGTTTAAAGCATAGGAGTTGCAAAATTTTTCAATACAAGAATTTAGATTTGTTTAAGAAATCATCACATCTAGAGTGGAAGAGCAGTGTGAAACAAAACTCAAAATCATTTTAAAAGAAAAAAAAAGGGACCAGGTTTTCTGGTCTCATAGGGCCTGGTGGAACCCCTAAAACTATGGTCCCTAGCTGCCCTCCAGATCTGGAATCGAACCCCTTCCTGTGGCTTCCAGCCAAACATAAGACAGGCATATAAGGTGAACATTTACATTAGGTAGCTACATTCTTGGAGGGATCAATCATGGGAGAATAGAAGGGCTGTGTATTGTGGTAGTTCAGTTTGTGTGTCAACTTGGCTAGGCCTGGCTGAGTGGCTGGGCAGCTGGATGTAGTATTCCCCATGATGAGACTGGTAATCAACTCCATGGTGGATCTACTGTGAGCAACTAAGTAGCTTGCCTTTGGGTTTGTGGTCTGCTTACTGTATGTAAGTAGCAGCTTTGGTAACGGTCTCTAGCTTATGGCACCTTGAACCCTGCATGTAGCCATGTTGTTGTTTAGCAGCCTGCCTGGCTCTGCCAACCTTGGGACTTGCAATGGACTTCAATTAATGGCCTGCCATGTGATTTGGTAATATCAGGACTGTGCCTTTTTACTTGTCAACTTTGGGCTTGGCAGCCTCAGCAGCCAGCAGCTGTCTGAGTAAAGAAAAGCTTCTAGCTTCAGTGGGCCGGGAGCTGGAGGCAGAGCTGAAGCCCAAGACTGAGGAGCTTTCACCCAGCCCCTAGAGCCTGGCACTTTGAACGTAGTCTTAAAGCCTCCAAATTATAAGAATAAACTCCTGTTTGTTAAGGCCATCCCATTTGTGGTATATTTTTGTCAGAGCAGCACTAAGTAATCAGAACATATATGCACAGGGAGACAGCTCAGGTGGAGCAGGAATGCATGGGTGGAAAGGACACAGGGAAGAGGTATCTATGGGGAGGAAGTGGGATGAGAGGTGTTGCATTGTGGGAAACTGTAGTCAATGTCATGAGGCAGTGTATGTGAACTAGTGTATAGAAAGTGAAGTTGCTCTGTAAACTTTAACCTGAATCACAATAAAAATTTTTTAAAAAAAGAAGTCATATCCATTTCGCTAAAAATAAAAATACTTAAGAGAAACAAATTTAATCCCTTTCAGGTCATCACTATCTGTTTCAGCACCTAAGGACTAAAATACAAATATACTGGATTTGAATTTTGGGTTCTTACTTAGTAGCTGATTTTTGAGCATAAATGGTTGTTGTGTTTTGAGTTCCTCATCTTCAGGTACACCAAATTCTGTTTAAGGAGAAAAAAAAAAAAAAAAAAAAAAGGATAAATAAAGGGCTCTACAAGAAAAAAAGGTTTATAATTAAGGGTCAACACAGCCTTTTCCTTTCCCATGATAAAACCTAGCAGAAGCTGATATGCCAGGGGTGTATCTTCCTTTTACCCATTTATCTCTTTCTTTTGGGGCGGTATGGACAGCAACCATTTACAAGGGCAGTATCTTCTGTAACTACTGTATTACCTTACCATCCTTCCAAAACCAAACTCACTGCCATTGAGTCAATTCTGACTCATAGAGACCCTCATTGGGTTTCCAAGGCAGTAAATCTTTAAGGAAGGAGATTGCCCCAACTTCCTTCCACAGAGCAGCTAGTGGGTTTGACCCATCAACCCTCTGGTTATCAGTCAAATACTTTAGGCATTTGGTAGAGCTCCTCAGAGATTAATAATGTCCTGACTTAAACTAACAAGATGAGCCTGTGCCAAATATATAAAACATCTGTTTAGAGTTTCCCTTTGAAAATAGTTCCCTTTCTTTCTGGTTATGTTTATGATTCACAGAGCACCTCCACCAAGTTCTAACCAAATTGTACAGCACTAAGCTGGGCATGCCACAGCACTGCTGTCAACCAGGTCCCCTGCCCCTCTGCAAGTGACCTGTGCATAAGGATATAAGGGATGCAGCACTTTTCTCCTGGTCTAACGTTTACTGAAAAATCCAGGGCAAAATTTCTGTAATTGCCACAAGCATCTGTGCCTTTGTCTTTGGGCACTCTTAGTGAAATACTAAGCCACACCTACAGGACTGCCTTAAGGAGCCTTTGCTTCCCTGCTCCTGAAAGATTTAGAATTCACCTAAAGTGGCCAGGAAATGGGGCCAGCTAATGGAGTAATCTGAAAGCAATTCCCACAGGCAGCTTTTCTTCTGCAAAGATGATGTTCTAGCATGAAGCATTTATGCAGTGAGCTGCTTATATTAGGAAATACATAAAAAGGAAAACTGCATAAAAGTGAAATTTGGAATAATAAGTCAAAACAAAATAAAAAGTACATCAGGGACAAAGGATCATAAAGTCATGGCTTCAGAGCCTGAAGAACCAGGCTGGAAGTTTTGAGAAAACACATTGCATACAAAGTGCACAAAGTGTCAGATGTGGTAGGGAGTGAACCAGTGCTTGTGAAGAACAGCCTTCTTCTGGGCTCTCATAAGACACCAGAATTATTTGGGGAGCATTAAAAATGTGTATGCTTGGACTTCCGGTAAGATGGTGGAATAGGCAGACAAGCTACCCAGACCCTCTTTAAAAGAGAAAAGAGAAACCAATTGAAAGAGATACAGAAGATAATCCTGGAGCCCTGAGGTTTGAAGGGAAGTATACAGAAGTGGATTAGGCACCAACTAGTGGAAAAACCTGCATGAAAACATTGAGTACAGAGATGGATGGAGCTGCAGACTGTCAGCTACTCTGATGGCACCAACAGCCTGAATATTTCCAAGTGGTGTTGGGACCTGAGAATGACTTTAAGATCACTCCTGGTCACCAAGGGCTACAGGGATAACTGCACTGGTGGCCTATGATTAGGAAGGGAAAAACAGCTAAGAGGGAGACAACCTGAGCTGTGGACGTTCTGTTGTCTGGAGAGTGCAGCCATTTTGACTGCTTACAAGTGGTGGCCATTTTGGACATTTAAATTGACAGCATTCTCATCTGGATTCCAGTGACCTAAGAATAGGCTCCATTTGCTAAGGAAGGCAGGGACATATGGGAGGCTGACAATGGGAAAGGAAACATGGGAGATTAACTGCTGCCAAGCAGCGAATAGAGCACAGTACCCTGCTTACATAGATAACGCCCAAAGAAAACAAAAATCCTGGGCAAGGCACTCCAATATACAATCACCAATTAAATATAAACACAAAAACATCACAATGACAACAGAGCATCACAGTCCACACAAAGAAGCAAGATAAAGCAGGAGAAACAAGGGACCAGGATACAGACCCAGAACACATCCCTGAGAAAGCAGCAGCATTGAAACTCCCTGAAAAGAAATTCAAAAGAATTATATTTAGGTACTTTCAACAGATTGAGAGACAGATTCAGGAAAACACTGACAAAATTGGAGAAAACCCTATAACAATTTTGAATGAGAAATCAGAAATGATACAAAATCTACAGACAGAAATCCAAAAGATTAATACTAAATTTTAAGAAATAGATAGCTCATTGAACAGGCAAAGGAATAGAAGTGAATCAATGGGAGATAGAATCAGTGAGACTGAAGACAAATACCTCAATGCTTCTTTACAAAGGAAGCAATCAGAAAAATGATCAAAACAAAATGAAGAAAGCCTAAGGTTCATGTAAGATACCATCAAAAGGAATAACCTACATGTAATCGGAACTCCAGAACTGGAAGAGACAGACAAAACCACAAAGAAAATTGCCGAAGATTTATTGGAAGAGACTTTCCCCGGTAGGATGAAAGATAAGAATATATCCAATCAAGAAATTCAACAAACTCCAAACAGAATAGACAACAAAAGAAAATAAGCAAGACATCATCAAACTCACTAAAACCAAAGACAAAGAAAGAATCCTGAAAGCATCACAGGAAAAACTAAAAGTTACTTACAAGGTGTAACCAATAAGACTAAGCTCAGATTTCTCAGCAGAAACCATGCAGGAGAGAAGATAAGAGGATGGTATATATAAAAGCCTGAAAGAAAAAAATTTCCAACCAAGAACTACATACCCAGTAAAACTCCCTCAAATATGATGGTAAAATTAGGACATTTCTAGATAAGCAGAAATTAAGGGAATTTGTTAAAACCAGACCAACCTTACAAGAGATGCTAAAGGGAGTCTTTGCACAGAGAACCAACAACAGCAAACAACAACCAACCATTAACACACATGATGACATAACCCTGAAACCAAATCAGTTATGAAGTACCAAAATAAATAAGCCTACAAGATTGTAAACAGGGAACCAGAGACATCAATTGACAAATGATGACAACTACAAACAAAAAAGAAGGCAAAACTGTATAGTTACAGAATTTCTAAATGGTAGGAAAGTCAAGGCAACTGCAAGATACATAACACTGTTCTAAACTTGGGAAGAAAATGATAAAACAACAGAAACGAAGGAAGTGGTAACACAATTCATAAACAAAATGAGTTCAGCACAAAAAATAATATGCAACAAAGAAATCAGCAACACCACGAAAAAGCACATAATAAAATGACAGCAACAAATTCATACTTGTCAATAATTACAATGAATGTAAATGGATTAAATGCACCACTCAAGAGATGGAGAGTTGCAGACTGGATAAGAGAATATAACCCATCAATATGCTGTCTAAAGAGACATACCATAGAGATAAAGACAAAAATCAACTAAAAATCAAAGGTTGGAAAAAAGATATATCAAGCAAATGGCCACCAAAAAAGAGTAGGAGTGGCAATATTAATTTCTGATAAAATTGACTTTAAGACAAAATCCAGCATAAGAGACAAGGAAGGACATTATACAATGATTAAAGGATCTATTGAAAAGAGGACATAACCATATTAAATATCTATACACCCAATGAAAGAGCACAAAGATACATAAACCAGACTCTAACAGAACTGAAAAGACAAACAGATGACTGCACAGTCATAGTAGATTTTAATACACCACTTTGAATCACATACAGAACTGAAAAGAAAGTCAACAAAGTTGCAGAACAGCTAAACAGTACAATCCACCATCTTGACCTTACAGACATCTACAGAGCACATGGAACATTCTCCAGGACAGACCACATGTTAGACCAGAAAGCAAAAACACTAAATACTGCAAAGCATCTTCTCAGATCACAATGCTATAAAATTAGAAATCAACAATAGGAAAATGAACAGAAAAAGAACAAACACACACATGGAAATATAGTAACACCCTCCATGAAAACGACTGGGTAACAGAAGAAATAAAAAATGAAATAAAAAATTCCTTTAATCAAACTATAATGAAAACACAACATAACAGAATCTTTGGGACACAGCAAAAGCAGTGATCAAAGCCAATTTATAGCAATAAATGCACACATCCAAAAAGAAGAAAGAGCCGAAATAAACACCGTAATCCAACATCTTCAACAATTTGAAAAAGAGCAGCAAAAAATGCCTACAGTCACCAGAAGAAAAGAAGTAATAAAAGATTCGGGCAGAAAGAAATGAAACAGAAAATAGAAAGACAACAGAAAAAATCAACAAGACTAGAAGATGGTTCTTTAAAAGATTAATAAAATCAACAAACCACTGGCAAATTTAACAAAGGAAAAGAGGGACAAAATACATGTAAGATGAATAAGAAGTGAACTGGGTGACACCACAACAGAATCAACAGAAATTAAAGGGATAAATAACAGGATACTATGAAGAACTGTATTCCAACAAATTCGAAAATCTAGAAGAAATGGACAGATCTCTAGAAACATACAGCTTTCCTAAACTAACACAGACTGAAGTGGAAAATTTGAACAGACCCGTAACAAAGGAAGAAATTGAACAGGTCATATAAAATGACCAATAAAAAAAAGCTCTGGTCCAGATGGTTTCACTGGCGAATTCTACCAGATGTTCAGAGAAGAACTGACACCAAACTATTCCAGAAGGATGGAATTCCCCCAAATTCATTTTATAAAGCAAGCATAACCTTGATACCAAAACCAGGCACAGACATCACTCAAAAGGAAAACTACACACCAATATCCCTCATGAATAGATATGCAAAAATCTTCAATAAAATACTAGCCAACAGATTCCAACAACATAACAAGAAAATCATTCATTATGACCAAATGGGGTTCATATCCGGTATGCAAGGATGGTTCAATATTAGAAAAACATTCAATGTCATCTACCATGTAAATAAAACAAAGAAAAAGTACCACACAATCATATCAGTGATGTAGAAAAGGCATTTGCTAAAATCCAACACCCATTCCTGATCAAAACTCTCAGCTAAATGGGAAAAGAAAGGGCATTCCTCAATCTAATAAAGGGCATCTATGCAAAACCAACAGCCAACATTATTCTCAATGGAGAGAGACTGAAACCATTCCTCTTGAGAACAGGAACCAGAGAAGGATGCCCTCTATGACCACTTCTGTTCAACACTATATTGGAAGTCCTAGCCAGGCCAATGAGGCAAGAAAGGGAAATCAAAGGCATCCACATTGGTAAGAAAGAAGTCAAACTATCCCTATTTGCTGATGAAATGATCCTATACCTAGAAAACCCAAGAGACTCAATATAAAATCTACTTGAAATAATTGAGAGATTTGTCATTGTGGCAGGATATAAGATCAACATCCAAAAATCAGTTGCATTACTCTACACCAGCAATGACTGCTGAAAAGGAAATAAGGAAATCAATACCATTCACAATAGCTACCAAAAAAATAAAATACTTGGGAATAAATCCTCGGAAGGAAGGTTGGGCAATCCTACTTCTGTAGTGATACTGCCTCGGAAACCCAAAGAGGGGTCACTATGAGTCGGGGCCGACTCGACGGCACATAACAACAACAACAACAGGGACACAAAAGACCTGTACAAAGGAAACTACAAATCACTACTCTAAGCAACCATAAGAGATCTACATAAATGGAAGAACATACCATGCGCATGGATAGGAAGATTGAACACTGAGAAAATGTCAATTCTACCCAAAGCAATCTATACATTCAATGCAATCCCAATCCAGATATCATCAGCATTCTTTAAGGATATGGAAAAACCAATCATTAACTTTATATGGATAGGAAAGAGGCCTCAAATAAGCAAAGTACTACTGAAGAAGAACAAAGTAGGAGGTATCATATTCCCAGATCTCAAAACCTACTATACAGCCACAGTAGTCAAAACAGCTTGGTACTGGTACAAAAACAGACACATAGACTAGTGGAACAGAATTCAGAACCCAGAAATAGATCCATCAGTCTGTGATCAGCTGATCTTTGACAAAGGGCTGAACTCCATTAAATGGGTAAGAGATGGTCTCTTTAACAAATGGTGCTGGCAAAACTGGATATCCATTTGCAGAAAAATGAAAAAAGATGTACTGTACCTCATACTATATACAAAAACTAACTCCAGATGGATCAAAGACTTAAATGTGAAACCTAAAACTATAAAATTCCTCAAGGAAAATATAACCGCAAATTTAGAGACCCTCATTTATGACATAGACTGTCAAGCATAACCTAAAATGCACAAACAGCTAAAGATGAACTAGATGAATGGGACCTTTTAAAATTAAATTTTTATATGCTTCAAAAGAGTAAAAACAGAACCTACAGACTGGAAAAAAATATTCAGCATGACATATCTGACAAGGGAGTTATCTCTAAAATTTATAGACCCAACACCTCAACAACAAAAAGATTAACAATCCAATTAAAAGATGAGTGGAAAACACGAATAGACACTTCACCAAAGAAGATATTCAGGTGGCCAGCAAATACATGAAGAAATGCTCATGATCATTAGCCATCAGAGAAATGCAAATTAAAACAACAAGACACCATCGCACCCCAGCACTAATGGCAAAGTTCAACAAGAGAGAAAATAAATGCTGGCGAGGATTTGGAGAGACTGGGACTATCACACACTGCTGGTGGGACTGTGAAATACAACTACTGTGGAAAGCAGTATGGCAATTCCTTAAAAACCTAGAATTAGAAATACCATTTGACCCAGCAATCCCATTACTAGAAGTGAGAGTCAGGACAAGAATAGATATATGCACACCCAGTTTAATTGGAGCACTATTTACAATAGCAAAAAGAGGGAAACAACCTAGGTGCCGCACCATCAACAGAAGAATGGATAACCAAACTATGGTACATAGACACAATGAAATGCAACACTAAAGAATAATGTAGAATCTGCAAAACACCACATAACAAGGACAAACTTGGAGGACATTATGCTGAGTGAAATAAGTCAATTACAGAAAGACAAGTAAGTCAAATACAGAAAGTACAGTTCATGATTGTAAAAAGTCAAGGAAAAGTTTATATATGGAAGGAAACTTTGTTGGTTACATGTGGGGGGGAAGACGATTCAACACTGCTGCCAAAAAAAAAAAAAAAAATTTCCATTGCCAATGTCACTTTAGTTTTGTGTATTTCACTGTACATAAATTATATTTCAATAGAATGTATTTTTTAAAAAATGTGAATGTCTGGACTCCATCTCAAAATAGTCTAAGTTTTTAAATTATCTAAGTTGTAACCAGGGTTGAGATAAACTTGAGAGCTTGCTGCCTTTCCTAAAGTACAGAGTGGTACCTACTACCTAAAATCTAAAGTCTCTGGTGAGCATATGCAAAGATGAGAAGAATATGTTTAAGAGCTGGTTTCTTCTTCCCAAATGTAAATCTCTCACCCTCAGGAACCTAAAAAGACTTCCCTTGCTCCTTCTGCTGAGAGATGCTACAATTTATCTTCTCTAAAGGGAATTTTTTAAGTATCTGCTCCCAAATTACTAAAGTAGCCCCAGGAATGTATCTGTAGTCCATTTTGATGAGTGCAAAAAGCCTGAAGATAAAGGGAGAAAAGCAATAATAAGAATTTCATTTTATTTTTTTCCAAGGAAAAAAATGTGTTCCAGTGGAAAGTCCACCTAAGGAAAAGATACTTGTTGATACTATACATACTAAGGCAGAGTAACTGGTATCTCGGATGGGCTGCACGAAATTCTTCATTGGGTCTGTTTTTTTCTGGATCCTGATGTCCACCAGCCTTTTTCCATTCATTTCCAAAAGCTTTCCAGTAATCAAGCTCAGATCCATGCCTCTCCTCTGGAGGAACCTATATTGATGTGAAATAATGCAAATCGACTGAGGCACTCTTCTAACAAGTTGTTTGTGTTTTGTAAACCATCTCATCCTTCTTCCACTGTCCACCCAAAAGAAAAATCAAATTGAAAGGGATAATATTTGATTACACTTTTCATCTTTGTTTTTTTTTCACCACTGACAGAATCCAGGAGTTGATTCAAAACGAAAAAATAATTTCCACTTTATACTTTTCTTCATAAGACTATCTACCCACATCATAAGACTATCTACCCACAAGCTAGTGTCTAAACTATCCCTAATCCCTAAGGTCCCCTAAACAAGTCAGCCCTTGGAGGAGCTCATTTTTGACAAGTGAACAACACAAAAGTGCTGGCAAACCATGGCCTTACCAGATTTTATGGAGCAGAGTGGATGAGAAGTAAAGGATGAATAAGCTTTGTTGTTTTATCTTCTTCCTGCCTACATTCCCCCCATGAAATAGTAGAAAGTGTCTAGTATCCCTTGCCCCTCATCAAATAATAATAAATCAGGCCAGGGAGCAAGTCACCAACAGGTTTTTCCTATGCTGCTTTAAGAAGTGTAATACCACCTTCCACTTGAGAAATAGGAGCTCTGGTGGCACAATGCACAAGGCATTTGACTGCTAACCAGAAGGTTGGTAGTTCAAACCCACCAGCCACTCCTTGGAAGGAAAAATGGTTAATGTACTTCCATAGAGATACTGCCTTGGAAATCCAAGGAGTTGTTGTTATCAGTCAGAATCTACTCAACAGCAATGAGTTTGTTTCTTTATTTGTTTTCCCCTAAGAAATCAGAAAAGAACCACTAATTACTAAGATACACAGATAATATTTTACCATTTGGAGGGTAACCACATGATAACCTTTAAAATATTTAAATATAATTTCTTCTTTTTCCATTTTCTGGCAGTCTCACTAGGAGACTATGTTAATTGATTTTTTAGTCTAATAAATATATCATTATTCTAGCACTTACCTCACATCTGTTCAGTGTCTTCAGCTGACCAATTTTGGCGATAATGAGTTGGCGTGTAGTCTCAGCATTGTTTCCCTCAGTCAGGGGGTTTCTTAAGCAAGACAAAGAGTGAAGGCTCTGCAACTTATCTAGTTCATTGATAAATGACCACTGAGATCAAACAAAAAGAAAATAAACATGTTTCAGGATACTTCTTCATATTATCTGAGCTAGTAAAAGAAAAGCAAAAGTCCCTAGTTCTTATTTAAGGCACTGAATTTGACCATGCACAAAGACCCCACTAGAAAGACCACATACTTTTACTCTATACCCATGCCATTTAAAATGATAAGCAGTCTACTTAAGTGTGGGCTTAATATTTTTGGCTTGATAAAAGTTTTACTCCAAGAAAAATTTTTTTTTTTTCAATTTAGAACTTTATTTATAGAAGGAGGAACCTACAAGCTCCATGAGAGTGGCAATAAGTGATGACGCACAATGCATATTCTGAAGACGCTCTTACTTGTGATATCTGATTGTTGTTTACTACAAGGTACTGCAAGGAAGGAAACATTGATGTTTTGCACCCTAGAAAAAAAAAAAAAGTAAAGTTACATGGGAGAAGTAAATGAAATAGCTAAAGTATGGGAGGAAATATTTCACTAATGTTATATACCAATTCCAGCATCCGGAAAATGTATAGAAGAAATTCCAGTGTCAGAAAGGATTAGCTGTTCTAATCTGAAATTGAGAAAACACAAATGTGATTACATACAATTACATATAGCAATATAAAACGCTATGGACTATCAACCAAACTAGTTTTTCATTTTTTTCCTACACCCAATGTTTTTATCTCATATAAAATGCTAAGAAACAATAATGTAATTTTAGGTCATCCAAAGAGCCTAAAATCTTGAAGTTCAATGAATAGAGAAAATAAGATATATAATCATATTTTAAAGGGCAATATGATGAACTGAAAGCATGAGCAACATGTGTTAAAAGCTAGGTGAGTACAGAGGAAGGGCAGATGGAGAAGACACCACTGTTCATGGGCCTTTAAGCAGAACCTTGAAGAATTGAGCTTTATCAAGTACAGATAAGGGAACATTACAGAAAAAGAGATTGGTGTCAGTAAACGCACAAGGGTGGAAGAACTCACAAGTACAACTGGGAATGGAAAGAAGTCCAGTCTGGTAGGAGCAAAGGGTATATAAAAAGGCCACATCACAAGAGTCTTTAATATTAAGCTTTACTTTGTAGGCAATGAGGAGAAATACTGTCAACAGAAAAGGAACATTAGAGCTCTGCTCCAACTGGGTGGTGGAGTGGCAAGACAGGATACAGGAGGCAGAAATTCTAACAATATTCCAGGTAGTGAAAACAACCCATTTCAGATGAAGAATCCAAAGGATTCACATGATGTATGGATATACAGGCAACAGCAAGGAGGGAGGTAATGAAGAAGGAGTAAAAGCTGACAGAAACTGACAGCCCTAGTCATCAAAATACACAAGCCATCAGAACTGGTCCAGCTACATTTACGAAAAAGAATGCACTGTTTTGGTTTTGGTGGATATGAAGTACCTAGCAGAGTATAGGCACTTAAGGAAACTTAGCTCAGAAGAGAGATAAAAAGGTAGAGCTAGAGATCTGGTGATATTTGCATGGAAATAAAAAAGAATCCACATTCTAAGATGTAGAGACAAAGGAGGAAACAAAACAAGGAGTCATAGGAAGATGTAGATGAAGCAATCACAGAAGTAGAAAAACATATTCCAGTAAGACGGCGGAATAGGCAGAAAGACTGCAGAGACCCTCTTCAACAAAGAAAAGGGGAACCAATTAACACAGAGAAGATAATCCTGGACACCTGAACCTTGAAGTGAAGGCTACAGAAGTGGACTAAACTCCAACTAGAAGAATTTGCATGAAAATAACAAAAAAGGTAGACATAAGGAGCTAGAGTCTGGCAGCAAGCCTGACGGCACAGACAGCTTGGATATTGCCCAGTGGTGGCAGGACCTAAGAATTAACCTAAATATCAGCCCTGCTAGCCAGGGATGGCATGGAGAACTTCTCCAGTGACTGGGAAATAAAAATGGAGGCAGCGAAGAGGACAGCAGGCTGAGCTGTGGACTTTTATCTGTCCGGAGGGCACAGCCATTTTGACTGTTTACAAGCAGCCTGACCATTTTGGATATTTAAACCAACAGTGTTCTCCCAGATACCAGGGACTTAAGAACAGGCTCCACTTGCCAGTAACTCCAAAGACAAGCCGGACCCGAACAACTGGAAAGTGGAAGACAGCAATACTCCCCATAAGACAGAACTACACCCGCACCTCCTGCAACCTCACTTACTGAGTGAGAGCCACCACTTCCTTCTCCACGAATGGGTGAACGATAAACAACTACGAAGAGGAGCCTGACTCACCCTTGGCTGCTCTTCACAGTTAACAAAGATCTAAATACAAAAACGCCATGATGTCTCAGAGAAAACAGACAATCACAATCCCCACAAAGAAGCAAGATAAAGTGGTAGAAACAAGGGAGCAGGATACAGACCCAGAACACAACCCTGAGGAAGAAGCACCATTGAACTATCTGATAAGGAATTCAAAAGAATTATATTTAGGTATCTTCAAGAGAGACAGATCAAGGAAAACACAGAAAAAACCCTAGAAGAATTTTGGAAGAAAATACAAAAACAAAATGACAAAATAAATGAAAAATTACAACTGATTCTAAATCTACAGATAGAAATGCAGAAGATTAATATTAAATTCTCAGAAATAGATAACATATTGATAGGACAAAGGAGTAGAATTGATGCAATGGAAAAGAGAATTAATGAGACTGAAGATAAATACCTGAATACTTCTTTGGAAAGGGATCAATCAGAGAAAAGACCAAAATAAATGAAGAAACCCTAAAGTTCATGTGGGATACCAACAAAAGGAATAAGCTACGTATCATCAAAATTCCAGAACAGGAAGAGAAAAATAAAACCAGTGAGAAAACTGTCCAGGATCTGTTGGAGGAGAACTTCCCTGATATGATGAAAGATGAGAATATATCTAATCAGGAAGTCCAACAAACCCCAAACAGGATAGACCCCAAATGAAAATCGCCAAGACATATCATCACCAAATCCATCAAAACCAAAGACAAAGAAAGAATCATCAAAGCAGCATGGGAAAAACAAAAACTGACTTACAAAGGACAACCAGTAAAAATAAGCTCTGATTTCTCAACAGAAACCATGCAAGCGAGAAGGCAATGGGATGGTATATATAAAACCCTCAAAGACAAAAATTTTCAACCAAGAAATTATGTACTTAGCAAAACCGTCTCTCAAATATGATGGTGAAATTAGGAGATTTCCAGAGAAGCAGAAACTAAGGGAATTTGTTAAAACCAGACCAACCTTACAAGAGATACTAAAGGGATTCCGTTGAACTGAGAAGCAAAACTAGCAAGTAACAACCAACCATTAATACACAAGATGACATAACCAAAAAAACCACAGCTATGGCCATATCCAAAACAAAATGAGCTTACAAGACTGTAAACAGGGAACCAGAGACATCAACTGGCAAATGAGGACAACTGCAAACCAAAAAGAGGGGAAAACATTGTAGTTACAGAACTTCTAAATGGTGAAAAAGTCAAGAGAGTTGTAAGATAGAATAGACTGTTCTAATCTCAGGGAGAAAATTATGAATCACAGGGTAACCTTAAAGACAAATGATAAACGTTCATATCACAATAAAAAAGAGAGCAAGCACAAATATTCAGCAAATACCAAACCAACAGCAACAAAGGAAATGATAACACGACTAATAAACATAATGAGCTCAGCACAAAAAATAATATGGAACAAAGAAACCGGGGACACCATGAAAAAAACACGTAACAAACTGACAGCAACCAATTCATACTTATCAATAATTACACCGAATGTTAATGGATTAAATGCACCACTCAAGAGATGCAGAGTTGCAGACTGGATAAGAAAACTAAACCCATCAATATGCTGCCTACAAGAGACACACCTTAGAGACAAAGACAAAAATAGATTAAAAATCAAAGGATGGAAAAAGATGTATCAAGCAATTGGCAATGGTAAGAAAGCAGGAGTGGCAATCCTAATTTCTGATCAAATTGACTTTAACACAAAAACCACCATATAAGACAAAGAAGGACATTATATAATGATTAAAGGATCAATTGAACACAAAGACATAACCATAATAAGTATCTATGGACCCAATGAAAGAGCCCCAAAATACATAAATCAGACTTAAAAAGAGTTGAAAAGGCAAACAGATGACTGTACATTCATAGTGGGAGACTTTAATACACCATTTTCAATGAAAGATAGAAAAACTGGAAAGAATCTCAACAAACACACAGAAGAACTAAACAATACAATCCACCAACTTCACCTTATAGATATCTACAGAGCACTTCACCCAACAACATCACAATATACATTCTTTTCCAGTACACATGGAACATTTTCCATAATAGACAACATGTTAGGCCATACAGCAAACCTCAATAAATATAAAAACACTAAAATGCAGCAAAGCATCTTCTCAGATAATAAGGCTATGAAATTAGAAATCAACAATAAGAACAACAGAAAAAGAATAAACAGATGGAAACTGAACAAACACCCTCCTTGAGAAAGACGGGGTAAGAGAAGAAATTAAAATTGAAATTCAAAGATTTTTTTAATCAAACGAGAATGAAAATGCAACATACCAAAATCTTTGGGACACAGCAAAAGCAGTGATCAGAGGCCAATTTTTAGCAATCAATGCACACATCAAAAAAGAAGAAAGAGACAAAATCAACACATTAAACCAACATCTCCAACAATTAGAAAAAGAACAGCAAGAAAAGCCTAGAATCACCAGAAGAAAGGAAATCATAAAGATTCTAGCAGAAATCAAGGAAACAGAAAATAGAAGGGCAATAGAAAAAAATCAACAGGACCAGAAGTTGGTATTTTGAAAAGATCAATAAAATTGACAAACCACTGGCAAATTTAACAAAGGAAAAGAGGGAGAGAATACA